CGGATATAATCTCTCAGCTTTATCAATTTGAAAGTAAGATACTGTCGAAATATAAATCCGAAAAAACATGTTTTATGATCCTATCTCAATTTTACGTACGTATGATCTTCTCAAGCTTAGGGTTTAGTTTTGTTTCGGTTAATCGGCCAGTTTGGATGAACTGAACTCTTTTCATTCTTCTGCCGATCGGTTCATCTCGTTGGGATGCGAGAAGAATGTTGTGACACGTTTAGGGAGACGTTAGTGTCAAAATTCATACAGAATGAGACCAAATTAAAAGTCAGTGTTGCCATTCTCTTAACTTTGGAGATATTAATTAGGTAATCTAGTTTCCAAAAAAAAAAAAAATTAGGTAATCCCCTTTTTTGTTAGTCTCTGGTCAGAGTACGTTACAAAGTTGAAAAATATACTATTGAACCCTAATGATCCCATAATTTTCTTATAGTATAACATTCCTAATTAATTTCAGTCAAATATTTTTTGTATCCTTAATTAGGCAGAATATTTATTAACTAAATAAAAATCCAAAGCAACTGTAGTGCTAATATTCTACGGGTTTTCTCTCCTTGGCAGCTTGATATGTATATAAATAATCGAGTGTTTTCATTCTTGAGGAGAAAAAACAAAAAAAAATATATATCTAAAGGAATTAAGATGGTTCTTGTTATGGATCTTTTATCTCTTCTGTTTTTAGCAGCCTTTGTCCGTTCTGATCAAAGTACGGTGCCTCTAAAATCCTTCAAGGTCAGCTTTAAAACAAAAACTTCGGACACAATTTTTTTTTTTATTAAAGAAAAACTTCAGACACATTGCATTATTTTGAAGTACTTACTTTTGTTAATCAATTTAATCATGGATTTGTTTTGGTTATTCGTGTTATTAAAGTATCTGTCTTTTTTTTTTTGGGTCATTGGAAGATAAGTAATGTAACATATGACTGCATAGATATCTACAAACAACCAGGACTTGATCATCCTTTGCTCCAAACCCACAAAATCCAGGTGATCCGTGTCCTACATTTATGTTTTTACAAAATCTGATTTTGAATAAATTAAATATTGAATATATATTTTTTTTAAAAGATGAAACCATCTTTTGCAAGACCTGAATTGAAGAATCAAACTGGCAACAACAAAACCTATAAAAGCGTAATAGGATGTCTAGATGGAACTGTTCCTATATTAAGAAATACAAAAGAATTCAACGTAAACTCACAATTTTTCGCTGAAAAATATTTTCATCCGCTATTAGCCGATAGCCCTGGAACCCATGTAAGCACTCATGTTAAATCTCTTAAATTCCATTAGATATAACGAGTATATAAGTCAGTAATATAACTGACTTGTGCTAGATTGCTGGGGTGAGGTCACTTAATGGTCCATTTCATGGTGTAGAAGCTCTGTTTGATGCATATAACCAATTCATCGAACCAGATCAAGCCTCGTATAGTCAAATTTATATAGGCAGTGGATTGAATAACCAAGTCAATTTTATTTCCGCGGGATTTATGGTAAGTTTTACATTCTACTGGTTTTTTTTCGTTAATCCGTTCTTTATTTGAACCCTGTGTGTAATTTTAAAGTATTGAATCTTTTTTTTGTTTCGACAGATAAATCCAAGTTTTTTTCGTGACGGACGTATTTGGTCATATGGATTTTGGAAGGTATGCATGTGAACAATTTTGTAGTTTCGGGTTCCATAAATTCTGTATGTAATATATATACTGAAGTCCTTAAATTAAATAACATGCATGTACATATATTTAATATGATTTTAATAGGGTAAAGATGGAAAAGGATGTTACAATACGGCGTGTTCAGGATTTGTTCAAGTATCGAGTGAGATTCCAATAGTCAAACCGATTGATAACCTTAAGCCAGGGGAACCAGTCTGGTGGCGTTGCTCCGTCCATCAGGTAACTTCTAAATTATATATATCATTTTCACTGAGCAATAAAAGATATATGAATATTTATTTATTTTATAATATAAAACAGGATAAAAACACAGGAAATTGGTGGATTACACAGCTGATACCAAATGCACCTTATAAAGTAGATATCGGCTATTGGCCAAAAGAGTTATTTAATCTTTTAAATAATGGTTCAAATATGGCAGGAGTTGGTGGTGTGGTTCAAGCTTCGCGTTCTAATTCAAGTCCTCAGATGGGTAATGGTAAATATCCAGATAAACGCTATAAAAATACAGCAATTTTTGCAAATATTGAAGTGTTGGATTCTAACTATAAACAGCGTAGATGGGATTATTTTCCTTGGGAGGAATTGCTAGATTGTAGCAAATTTTATAGAATATCATATGGTTATGAAGCTTATTTATATGAGCATACTCAATTTGGTTTCTACTTTAATTATGGTGGTCCGGGAGGAAACACTTGTGGAATTTAACATTTGTATGTATGATCTTTAATTTGGGATTAATTAATAACCAAACCTTAATATATAGTTCTCAATTGTATATATATTAGATTTTGAACCGCGCCTAGGCGCATGATTAGAATATTAAAAAGTATATATATAAAATTTTGTTAATATATCAGAAAAATAAAAAATAGATAATATTATAAGTATAAAATATTACATTTAATTGAACGTAAGTTTGTAAAACATATATTAATGCGCGTACACTGTAAAATTAATGAAAATATGTAGAAGTTTTTATCATGGATTATTGTTTTAATCGAAATGTTACGATTTGTTAAATGAAACGCCGTGTCCCTAAAATGCTCCTTGAAACAAAAAATTAGATTTTTTGCCACTTATGTCTTCTCAGTTCTCAAAGGTATACTTGTAAATGGAGTAGAATTGTCCCCAAAAAAGAACATAATGAGTAAAGTTTTCCTTACATCAAAAGTATTTTTAGAACATTGAGATCCAAGAGAGGAAAAAAACTAATATAA